ACAACGGATCTAAGCTCCCAATTTTTAACTAGACACTTCAGTACTTAAGAATTTTGTTATTTTTTTTAAACTTTGGGCAGTTTTCCTGCCTCGGGAAGTCGGGGCAGCCTGGCTACTTGGCCTCGAGCATCAACTTTCTGAAAAGAAAGCTAATGCAAAAAACCTAGGAAAAATAAAATCTATTTGAGTAGTTTATTGGAGGGGAGGGTCAAGGTGTAAGTTTGCAGTCAGTAAGTTGCAGCCCTCATTTCACTGCCAAAGCAGCCTGCCTTATTATGCCAGCACAATGGCCCTGTCATAATCAGTTGCATATAATGGGCAGTGCTTTTATTCTCAACCATATTATTCTTTTCATAGAAAATAATGAATAATGTAAAGGCACATGGTTATATTTGGATGAAAATATTGCATAGGCTGGCTATGAACATGAACAAGATTTAGACCAAGCAGCACATGGCTAACTGCCTATAACAAATACATTTTTTGAAAAGGTAAAAGCTTATATATGGTAGTGTAGTGTATGGAGTGTGTTAGTTAAAAAATGTTTGTGTGTTTGGCAGGTTAGCTTGGTTTTCCCAGCTACATATAGCCTGAATGCTGGAGAGCTGCAGGGAATATTGCATAAGGACATGTGCGGGCCTTTACATGTTCTCATTTCTCTTTTTATATCAAAGTAAGAAAAAAAAAGTAATCAAAGATGTGTTTACCAACATGTTAGAATCCTGCTGGCTGGTGTCTTAGAAGTTCACTCAAGGTAGAGCAGTATTTTGGCATCAAGTAGAATCTTTTGGATTCTAAAGATTCATAGAGTTGGGCTGGGGAAAAGGAAACACCCGAAGTAGTCAAACTCTTTTTTTCCTTTTTACTTTTATGCTCAAATTCTTTGGGAAAATAAATCTAAAAACCATTCTAAAATATGTTGAGTAAGGAGCTTTTTTTATCTCAGGCATACATACCATTTTCATATAAGCATATGGTTGATTAGCTTGTTAGTTTGAATGGAAGCTAACTTTGCGTGCACGTTAAGTGCAGCTGCAATACAAAGTGACTTGTTTTCTGCGACAAAGGTGCATAAATACCTCATATGTAGATGTGATTCTTTTCCCCGTGCCTCCTCACCCTTGCAGTGTTTGAACAGATGACGCCCCTGCATTTTATTTTTATGAGAATACTTCTTAGGGAAAGGACACCTCTAAAGCATTTGTTTAGATAGTGACCCTTGTAAAAGCCTTTATTTTTTGGGTTCGGTCGTGCCATTTCCCTGGAGGCTGTCAGAACTTCTTTTTGGTTTTGCTGAGAGGGATAAATTTGAAAAGTAAAGCAGTCATGTTTACCTCTTTCTCTCCTCTCTTTGGAATCAGGGCTTCAGGGCTTGTGTTTTTTGGTGATGGTAATAAAAGCCTTTTTTATTTTGTTTCCTTTTTTTTTTAAGATTGGTTATTGAACACACATTCTTTAGGGAAAATACTGCTTTAAATAAATTCTTGTTTGTCTCGAGGCTGACAATATGCTTTATAGAATCAAAGAGGCATATTTTAAGGGTTATGCCTTTTTATTTATAATGGTAATGCACACAGGACTCGGCAGTGTTCAGGAGAATAACCAGTCATTGATTATTCTTTAGTAATTGGATCCGTGCTTGGCAGATGAGGTTCGGAGTGAGCATGAACATTCTCTGTGGAGAATGCTGCAAACTATGTATGTAAGCGATCCGCCTCTGTGCAGGGACCTCGGGCACTTAGTCAGGAGGAGCTTGGTGCTGATAATACAAAGCTTTTTTGCTATCCTCAGTGGTATTTTTGTATTCCCTTCTTTATCAGATGCCCTTAGGAAAGGATCAGTCCTAATCAATATCGCTTCTCAATTGGTTCAAACAGGCAGAAAAATCAATGAGCCGAACTAATGACATCTATTTTTATTTTCTTTTGGAAGACTGAGGAACAATTATAAAATTTTAAACAGATGCTTCATTTGATTGTGGGATGGTAGAAGAGGGTTGTGGGTTTGGTGTGTTCCCCTCCCCCCCCCCTTTTTTTAATATATATATAAAAAATTCTTACCCAAACACAATATAGATCAGGAAACTTCTTTAGAGTGTGTGACATAGCTTGAGATTTCCTGCATATGTATTGTATTACTTACACACTAACTTCATGTTGTTGTAGCCATGCTGGTTTGAAATTCAGGGTCTGATAAAAATGTCAACAACTGGAATGCTTAGGACAAAAGCCAGAGTGGCAAATGTCATGAGGTAAAGTTTGGAGGTCAAGTCTGGAAAAGATACAGACCCATGCCTTTTGGAGGGGCTTGGCAGAAGTGAATTTGGGTTGGTTTGGATTTTTTGTTTTTTTGTTTCATCTTCCTCCCCTACCCCCCCCATGAACAGAGGAACCAAGAACCCTCACACCCCCCTTTTTTTTTTGTTGGAGGTGTCTGTATGGATCCCATTGCATTTCCAAAATCCCTGCCCAACGATCAGGAGATGCTGGGGGGAGCAGGGAGGTTTGTCTTTAATGTGAATGGGACATAGTTCCTAATTGTGTTTGGCAGCTGCTCTGAGCGAGCAGGGCTGAACTAGGTGACCTCCAGAGGTCCCTGCCAGCCTCAGCGGTTCTGGGATGCTGTGAGTGGGACCTTGCTTCAGCTACTTGACATGACAACTCTCACAGTACTTCCTCCCCTTCCCCATGGGCTATGTAAAGTAGTTTTGCTTCAGACTTAGGTATTCTTGGGCTGAAGGTCAAGTTGTGGGCTAAGTGCAGGACTGGTTTCATTTCTTTCTTTGGACAGTGTTTTGGAGGAACTGCTTTTCACAAAACGCTGCCCAGGTTTCCTGCAGTGTTCACCACTAAAGCACTAATGATTGTTTAGAATAGCATCTTTGCTAAATTCAGGCTCGTACGACGTAAGCCGGATATTCTGATAATCATAATGTTTTCTGCAAAACAATAAACTCTTAACCGTCAAAGGCAAAAATAGCAGATCTTGAAACAGTCTGCAAGCAGATTCCACCTCCACACACCCCATATTTTCTGTGTACTTTGTTTAAAGATCACTTCATTCCTTATAAGGGTATTTAATTTCAATATGAGTTTCATATTAACAATTCTGATTTAAAGACTGTCTTATTGTAAGAGTAAGAATGAAGAAACGGAGTTGAGGGGCAACTGTATGCCTTACCATTTTTAGTCATTGTTAACTTTGTTCTTCAAACTGTGTGAGAGATTTGTAAGAAATAGTTAACACTTCTGAGCCCTCCTTTAGTTTGTAATGGGGTGAGTCACATCCCAGTCTTTTCAATTAAAATACCAGATTTTCATGCTCAAATGAGTCATCAGAGAAGTAAAAGATAGACATTTCAGGAGTGGTGTGATGCAAAGCCACTTATCTGGAAAAACGCACTTGAGGTTATAGCTTTTTCTTTTTTTTATGGGGTCTGTAATTTTATATGAACTCAGGATTTTCTGCTAATCCCAGTGCATTGCAGATGAGAAGGGATTTAGTACCTTGCTGAAAGCCATGTGAGTTAGCCTCACCTTTCACAAGTCATCACACCACAAGAATCAGCTTGAATGATAGAATGTAATCCAAAAAATACATTTGTTTATGAATGAGAGTATTCAGGCCTTGGAAGGAAAGGTGAGGAGAGCCAGGAGCAATAGCCTCTGTGTGTATCCCAGTGGGCTGCTGTACCCCTAGAAGGCAGCAGCTAGAGCAGTTCCTGCCACGATCCAGTCTGAACTGTGCTTGCCTGGGACCTGCAGGCACATGGACTTTGTCGTTGAGAGCAGCTTGAGGGGAGGAAGAAACTTGGCTTGGGAGCGGTGGGGCTGAAGGAGAAACTTTAAGTAGTGGCACCTCAAGTTCGTTTTGGTATAGAAGTTAAACTAGTGAGCGGTTTGTGTCTTAGCGTCACCTGATGATTGCAGGACAAAAGTGTGACTGTTGTCCTGCCATCTGACAGGGAAGACTGCACTACATAATGACCAAGTTTGAAGAAATCAAACTGAAGGCCACCATGGAACCTCAATTCTGCAGATTATTAAAATTAATAATCTGATTTTGCAGATACTAAAAGCGAAGTGGTTTTAGCTATGTGTACCACAGACTGAATGTTGCTCTATGAGGAAAGCTGTATGCAACAGCCAGGAGGGAAGCGGTGGTGAATGCCCTCTCACTGCCTGGGGGCATTGTTTTCTGTACGAAATTCTATGGGTTTTGCTTCAAGTTTGGGGATTTTCAGACTATGGGAAGACTAAGCATAGTATCAACCATGGTAAAACTATGTTCTCATAAATCACCGACATTCATTTCAGTTTCACAGAAGAAACCCAAATAACATGAGGCCAAACTATATAATGCACTTGTTAAGTATTTAGAATGTTTTTGTATTTATTGCAAGAAAAGGAAACAAAAAGGGTAGGGTTCAACTACGTTGGTGGCTTGAAGTTTTTAAAATGTCATAATTTTTTATATTCTGTGCATTAATCTTACCTCATTTGTCTGTGGGTATTTTTGGGTGTTGTTTTTGTTTTGTTTGTTTTTACAGTTATTCCACGTTTTTATGAATGTAATACAAGTGGATTTCTAAGTATGTGCTAAAGCCTAATGTCACAACATAAACTTTTAGCAGTTTTTATCAATTATGTTTATATTGTGTAATAGAAGAGGTGTTACATGTCAAACTAAAAGTATTATGATATTTGTTCAGAATTTAAGTCTGAACTGATTCTTTCGGATGTTCTAAACTGAAATGGTTATGATTTTATGGAGGCTCGCAGCCAAGCTTGCTCTGCCTTTCTGAATTATGCTTTTAGTATATTCTCTGAATTTCAAAAAGTAAACTTTTCTCATTTTGAACCACCAGACCTTCACTGAAAGCCCAGTAAATTTCTATAAATGCTGAGAGCAGTATGTGTGGTTAATAGTTTGTCAGCCTGGTATAATAGCAGCTGAGTTATTATAGAGCTTAATTTTACTTATCTCTCTATATTTTGCAGTCTAGTCTGCTTCGGTCAGATATGGGGCTTGGAAGTCCAGGTCAGCTGTCATCCTCGGGAAAACCTGGAGCGCCCTACTATCCATTTTCTGGCACAAATCAGCGCCGAAGACCACTTCATGACTCACCAGCTCTTGGTGAGTAATACAGACAGTTTTTAAACTTCTTTTCCTGATGCATTTCTGCAGACCTTATTGTTTTCTTTGACAGTTCATTTTATGTACTGGAGATTGCTCTGTACTGAGCAATTCAAATTACAGCGAACTGCTATAAAAGAGATAAACTGGAATTATTAGCATTTTCTTTGATACGCTAGTTTGGATTCAACACTGGTCAGTATTGCGTATAAAACAAACAAGAAACTCCAATAAACCCCTTAATTGCAAAAGCAATAATGACAGATGGATAGGAGCTGATGACCAGCTGAGTGCCCTTAACCCATGCCATCATTAACTTCTGGAAATGCCTGACCTTGAGGTCATTACCATTATTTAGTAGGGGAAAGACACAAAGGGGAAACAATTATCCTTTTATATGCTAAAAGTAACTTTATTCAGGGCAATATATAGTTCATTGAAATTGGTTCAACATGCCTTTAAAGTTCTTAGCAATAGGAAACTAGTAGTTCATCCTAAAATCAAGCTACCTTGCAAAATATACAGGCAGGAACTTGCTTAAATATTATTATAATCCTGTAACAGTATTAGTATTTTATTCTGGAGATACTTAGAGATAAACAGAATTTTTATACTCTGTCATAGTTAGTTGCAATGTTTCATAGCTCTAAAGACTTTGTGTTGAATTAGGGAATCAAGAAGGAACCAGCTGTTCTATCATTTCTGCTGTGAGAGTATTGTGAATAATTGGGTGTGCAAGTTTTAAAACATTCTTTTTGGTAAAAGAAGAAAGACTGTAACCTGATATTCTAGTTTAAAAGCTACCATATTTCAATGTTAGCATGTTATGTCATTAGAATTAGTCAAGTTATATGTTTGGGTTTTTAATGCTCCTGATTCTGTATAGCACTTCTATTCCATAATCAAATCTTGTTTGTTGAAACCACGTAACTTAAACCATATTTACTCAAAATAAGATTTCATCAAATGCAAATTGTTTCCTGAAGTAATTTTAGTATTAATTAGAACTGCAAACTCCTCGGGCATTAAAAAAGCCCTGAACATATTTGACATTTGTTTTTCAAATCTTTTAATTATAAAAAAATATTACTTTGGAACTCTACCTATATATATATATGTGTGTGTGTGTGTGTGTTTTAAAATACCTATTTTGTGTAACTCTTTAACCTGTTGTCAAGACAACCACCGTTTAATCTGGGGTTGTCTATCTTCACAGATATTTTTGTAAGTATTCATGTTCCTCAGAACATGAGAATCAAAGGCAGCAGTTCTTCAGATCTGTTTCAGAAAAGGAACAGTCTGAGGGAAGCGAAGTGAAATTGTTTGCTGCTTGGAACGGTGTCTGAACTTTAATAGAAAAGAGTTGGGTGGTGGGATAATTTTGATGATGTTTTAGCCCCCGTTGGATCGGTTTTAGTGAGAATCTATTGTAATAGTAACCTGCTATGGTTTCAAGTAGCGGGGGCGATTCAAGTATTTGGGTGCTGGCTGGGCAGTGATAGCGACATGTGCAGAAAGGTTATGGTATGAATCACAGACGCATAGAATAGTTAGGGAGCAGTCACTGGGGGAGAGTCCTACACAAGATTGTCTGATTTCTGTTATTTACTTGAATATGTGATGAAGTTAATTTCTTGTGCAAACTATACAGAGTTCAATAAGTTGCAAATATTATGAATATAACAAAATGGAGCTAAGCACGGTGGTTTTGGAGTAGTACTATTTATTTTTTCCCTTGAAAGAGAAGCAGGGGGGTATAAACCTGTTCAAATTGGTAGCAGCGTGATACTCCTCTTCCTGTCATGGCTGAATCTGAAGGACTGTAAACCCAGGACATGGCAGGTGTTACAAATGTTGCTCCAGATATGTAGGAAAGAGCAAGCGCACTTTTATCTCAGGTCCTGTTTCCAACGGCTTGAGAAAGTATGTCTGAATTTTCAATTTATTTTTTTTTTAGAGGACTAGTTAGATGTTACTAGTTAGAAGTCCAATGATGTGGCCATTTTATCCCCAGGAAGGAGTTGCCTGACCAGGATTTTAACAGATCTCTTTAAACTTGCTTCTAAAGTTAATAGAAACGAACCAGTGGTTCATTCCAGGTGACACTTTTGAGTGCAGTGTAAATACCTCTTCCAGAAGTCCTTTTATTTTCATTTCAAACAAGCCCTGTGGGGAATGATCAGAGTAAAGATACCCAGCAGATATTCTCACCTTATCTCACCTTTATCTTGTCATATCGTGTAACAACGTTGTGATTAAATGTTCGGAATGAAAACAGAAAAGTAGGAATTTTGTATTTTAGCTGAAGACTCAATGGGTCAACTGTAGAACTGGTGATCTTGCCAGATACTAGTCTTCAGACCATCAGTTAACTTCTAATTTGCATGCATAGTGTTCAAATTTAATTTTATTAGCAGCTGATTAAACTGGTTCAGAGTCTTAATTTAGGTAGTGAAATTGCTAGGTACTTTTGTAATGCTATAATAATTATTGGTAGAAGGAAGGAGGTATCATACTTTTACTGTTACATACAAATTTGAGTTGTATTGCTTTACTATTTAAGAAAAGTGATTAGGTCATTAGATTTGCTGTTTATTTACAAACTTGGTATAGTCTAAAAGCTATGGAAAGTTACATCATGTTAGTATTTTTAGAGTATAAATCATACTTCAACATGTCATAAATTCTTTTTTGATAGTTCTGTCTCTGAAGTGCAAAAAGGGAAAGCATTTCTCTCGCTAATGAGTCCAAATCTAAACTTGTTTCTTAGCAAGTGTGAAAGGGCATCAGTGTAACCTTCGGAGTTGGTGTTCATCGTGAAAGTAATTGTTTAGCAAAAGCTTTATTTTAGAGAAGAACATTGGAATGTTACGTTCTTGTATTGATGCGAAAGCCAGATTTCATTGGCACAGAATAAAAAATGCATTACATTTGAAAATAAGAAATCTAGCGTGGAAAGACAAAACTGTATCATGTAGTTATTTGTTCTTTTTAATCTGTAACATAGATACCTGATGAAACGTTGTTTTTCTGTGTACAGATCCTCTACAGACAAAGAAAGTAAGAAAGGTGCCCCCTGGTTTGCCTTCTTCTGTAAGTACTGCATTATTTTTACTGATAGTAAACAAATCGTGCTCAAATGGCGCTCTCTTGACATGCACACGAATTACTTGACTTCAGCATTAGGAAGGCTCTCTGCCGGACGTGAACAGCTAGGCCAGGTAACTGGGAGTGGTTCTGAAGGACTAAATACACATTTGATGTGGAATTTTTAGATTTCATGGCAGTGATTTGTAGGTTGCTCATATGCTCCTACCCACTTGTCCCTGTCATTTGAATTCCTCTCTTGGGAAGAGAGCTGGGCCAGGAGCTGTCAAAGAAGATCTCCTGTACAGGTCTTTTGATGTTTAATTAGTCATTATGTTGCTGAACAGGAGGACAGACAGAGATTAATAGCTGAGAATCTTAGAAATTTACATTTGTAATAATCCCAGTGGAGCTGAAGACATTAAGATTCGGAGGACATGTACAGCTCAGCTTGCCTCAGTAGGACTGAGGTTATTAATATGCATAAATCACCGAGTCAGATGTTCATTGTGAAGCCCTGGTGGATTTTAAAGCCTTCATTAAGCCTTTCCTAACTTCAGCCTAGCATCAGGAAAGCTTTCAAGCAACTAGTTTGTTGATCCCTCTTTGCTTGAAAATTTATCCTTCGAGAATAAAGGGCTTTGATGAAAAAGGTTGGAAGGGTTTTGGTGGAAAAATCATTAATGGCTGTGATAATCTAATGCTATAGGGGTGTTTTGTGGTATTAAATATGCTTTATTCTTAAAAGGGAGAAAATTGTTTATAAATGAATCTGCATTTAAAAATCCACGTGAAGTGAAAAATCCCCGGTGAAGTGAAGGACGGAATTGTGTTTTCCCCTGCTCAGAACAAACAGGAGGGGAGGGGGAAGCTCCTGCCTTGCGGGGGTACATCTCTTTGTTGTGTAAATGGCTGTTGGGCTTTTATTTGGCAGTACTTAACACATGGGCGCAGGTGCACTTGGCTGAGTCATAACTCAAAGCCGGATAGGCTGAATGGAACATACTGCACGGGCAGCAGAGATACAGCGGAGCGGAATGCTCTGAGCTTTTCATTTTGTATTGAGGCTCAAGTACGGATGGTGTCTTCTAGCCCTTGCATCTTCCCTGTTCTCTCCTCCCTCTTTCCTTTCTCCCTCCCCCTGCTCACTATGATATATACAGAAAGAAGGATCTGAAATCCTATTTTAACCGTACTTCCAGATGGAGCTGAGATAGTCTAGATAGCCTGGGGCAGCTGTGCTCTGAACCTGCAGCCTACCTGGAAGCCAGGATTGCAGCTGCAGGCACTCTTAAAAGCTTTTGCTTGCATAAGCACTTGGGCCCCACTAGAGGCTGAATAGCTGCTTGATAAACAAAATGAACACAATGCCTCAAATCATTATTCCCGAGGCCAGGAATATTCTTCTTCTTCCTTCCCCCCCCTGCTTTTTTTTTTTCTTTCCCCTTCAGCAGCAGCTAAAAATAGTTTGGCAATTTACATTTTAACAGTTGTGTGTTATGTAGGGTGGCTTTACAGTCTAGCAGATGATTTCTGCTAGGTTAACAAAAATATATTTAAAATGTCAGAGAAGCTAAACCACAGAGCAGTGCAGTTTTCATGTAATTTATTACCATAATTCCGGGCGAGTAATAAAGCTTACGTTACATGTTTAATATTTAATAGCATCAGCCAGGTAAAGAGATCGTTTTAGCAAATGAAACATTTCTCTCATTTCTCTTACCAGGCTTTAATTTTAAGAAACAGGATTTTAAAAATGGCTTTCATTTAATTCTGCTGTGGGAAGAGTGGAGACAACAAAACGCTGCTAAATCTTATTTGTGTTAACATTGTACCGATGTGCGCAATGAAGTGCGGTTACTGTGAACAAACAGTGATTGCGATGCTGCAGTTCTGAAGTACTGTTTCTCTGTATTTCAGTGCTGTCAGGGCTGAATAGAGCCTTCAAGTAAAAATGATGTATTAAAAACTACCGTGATAGAAGTGATAGTATGTGTTTTGGAAGAGGACACAAAAACTGAATTTCACTAACAAACATGGAAGTATTGTCTCTATTTTAAATATACCTTGGTAAAAAGTCTTGAATGTATTGTGGGAGAGAGAAAAATCAGTTTAGCTAGTAGGTAGTGCAGATAAGTTTAATTATAATATGAAAAGTCACAAGAAAGGTGATACTTAATGTTATACAAATCTGAATTTTTTAATTTTTCAGTTTCTAAAACATTTTCTGCAATGTTTTCATGTTAGTACAGGGCTACCATGTCAATAGGTACTCAACAGTAATTTAATTTCCCAGATAACTGTAATTTAATAAGTCTTTTAAGGAAAGAAAAATTTATATATATATGTATATACACACACATATATATATATAAAAATCTTCCTGTAGTTTATTTCTTTGTCTCGTGGATTTGTATGGTATTTTCTGAAATCAGTTGCTTTGAGGTTTATCTTTCTTCCTGTGTTCTGATCAGGGCCTAAAGCAGAAATAGTGTCCATGGTTCAAGCCCAGCTTGTTACGGAGAAAAGTGCTAATGAATTGTTTAGTTGCTTTCTGGAGTGCAATTGAATCTGAACTTGTCCTTTTACTGCAGAAATCAGATGCATCGGGCAAATGCATTTTTAAGTTTTCCTGTTGTAAGTTTCTAAGTGGTGAGTCATTGCCCAAAACATTCTGAATGTTGACACGCGAGCATTTGTTAAACTACAGCTACTAAATTTAAAGCCTTCTGGGGAGGATAGAAACTAAAACAATCAGTGGTTTATTTTTCCTCACTGTTCACTCAAGCCAGGCTTGAGTGAACAGAAAAATTATGATGTGCCATTTATATTATAGCAGGGGGGAAATACTGTTTGGTGAGTTACATTATCCTCGGAGATTCAGAACTGTTGTATTTCTGCATTTTTTTCTGATTGTAGGAGGAACCTTAACTGAGCCAGGAAACTAATAATATCATATGACTTGAAACCAGTTGTAACTAATCCGTGGGGCTGAATTAGGAAGAGCAGGGTATCAGGGTTTTCAAAGAGCTGTTCAGTCTGCAGAGGGAGGAGAAAGAAAAGTAAGGCTCACTTGGAAATGCACAGGGAGATTGCCATCTAATTATGTACGGGCTATGAGCAGAAACACACTGTTTACATGTGTAGTCAGAAAATAATTCAGACTAATGTTTTTTTTATTATACCATAATCAGTAGCTATCATGAAGTCATAATTCTAAGAAAAATAGTGAGAATATCGTTGTTCTGTTGCCATTTAATTAGTCTCATGTCAGAGAAACAAACCTGAAATGCATCATGTCTGTTAATTTTTGTTACAGAAAATGAGCTGTGACACACAGGAACAAATACCTGATTGTTTTCTGTGTAATGCCATTTCTAATAAATATTTTGAGTGTATTAGAGTCTCCACAGTACCTGAGACAATCAGTTTAATATTAATCTTTAGTTTTCCACTGATTTAATAAGAGATTGTCAAATGAATATTTTCTAGCACCAGAGCTCTCTTTGTAAATTCAAGTTCATTATGTTTTTCAATATATTTAAGACAATTTAAAATTTGATTATAGGGGTTCTCATGTATCATCCTCTATAGTATGCATATAGTCCATGGGTGCTAATTTATTGCTAGAGTTCTTCATGAAGGAAAGCTAAAAAAAACCCCAAAACCCAAAAGAAAACTTTGGTGCATAGAACTACCTCCCAAACACTTACTTTTCTTTTTTGGTATCAAATTAGTCTGTTGAGACTGAGCTTGAGAAATACGTCTTAAGAGTTGTCTCAAAAGATAGCACTGGTACCAGAAGGAAAATAATAGATCTTACTCCCTTCTGTGCTCCCTCCTTCCTCTGCCTCTCCTGAAGGGTAAAGGAGATAATTTGAAATGGTGCAGTGGAAAGGATCCGGTCCTCTGGACGTTTATCTGAAATACAACGTTCACCACGCGGAGTGGGCTTTCTTTAGAGAATTATCCTTAATTTTACCAAGTTCAGTGGGTATTGAATAGCCTGTGTAAAGCAAGATCCTTGGAATACTTTGATGAAGTCTGTGGCTCTGAACACGAACTGTGGAACATCTTTGTGTGGTGTTCAGATAGTAGATCTTCGTGTGGCGTTTAGCTGGTGATGTTGTGTTTAACTGACGGTGATGTTGTGTTTAACTGACTTTCCCGTGAGACTTCTATTGTATTTTTGTTTTTGATTGTAAGATTTGTTCCCACTGGCCAGAATTGGTGTCAGAACATAGAAAGCAGCATTTATTTTGTTCAGAGCTGTTCTGAATTGCCTTGCGCAGTCAAGTGATACATTCAACTGTCACTTGTCTTCGGCATCTAACACTCTCAAAGACAGCAGTAACTCCCTGACCCTTGCCTCCGATGCTGTGCTGTGTTTTAGAAGGCAATTTTAAATAACAAAACTGAGCAAATAAATCCTTATGGGTAATGCAACACAGAACTTGCGATTTCTTCCTTGTGACTCAGTCTTTCATCTTCCTTTCTTCTGCTTTATGCCTATTCTTTGGTCACCTGATTCAAAGGATAATGTTTTTAGGGACTTCCTCTAGACTCCTTTTTAAGCACCATGTTCATCTGTGAGCTTGAACAAAAAGCAAATACATAAACCATCCAACCCCCAAATTCTGTTACAAACCAAGTAAAAGTGCTTCTTTGAGGTTTTATGTTAATTAAGAAAAAGACCTGGTTTTCTGGTTAGATGATTTGACTGTTTTTCAATGTGGCCTTTATTTGAAACCTGTCTGAAACCAGCAGCAACCTCAGATTATAGCATCCCACCTGCTCTTTGCTATATGGGAACGTTTAGCTGTCATTAAACAACTAAGTAGTCCATTGCAAAGTCCTGCTGTGAAAAGTTCAGATCGAGTTCTCACGGAATTAGGGTGAAGGTGCTTAATTAACCCTCTCCTAATAGCATTGTTTTAAATGAAAATCAGGTAATTTTCCCAAACTATCTTGTCATCTGTGGTGAACTATTGTGAAGTTGTTTCATTGAGAGATCTTCTTTGTTAAAATCCTGCGTATACGTCTATGAGGGATATATAATGATGTCAAATTATTTCTTTGTGTTTGGATTTACTGGAGATACTTTATTTTTGAAGTTTTCACAACATATCAAAATGAGCACATTAGATGCTCTTAAATTAGAGTGTAGATCTGCATAACAGGACCTTAAATCTGTGCTTAAGTTCTAAAACTGTTATCTGAAAAAATAACATGACTGAATTGCAGCTCGTGTAATTTAGGGAGAATTTATATGGAATTGCTGCAACTCCTGCTTTACCTCAAAGATTAATGTGTCCATTACCATAAATTAGTGTGGTGTTTTATAACATTAGATAAGGATAAAAGCTTTTCTGAAGACTATTTCTTAATGTCTTTTGCTTGATAATACTTGTGGTATTGGTGGGAAGGCTTTTATAATCCCTGAAGTCAGCTGGGAAAGTGGTGAGCAGTGTTGTGTTTCTAGGCTTTTATGTGCTGTTGAAACGAGATGTTTCCTTTCAGTTGCTTGCTCAGCCCAAATGCTGGGCAGGTTGCTTCGCCCATTTGTCGGAAAGGGGCAATACAAAAAGGTTGTTTTTCCAAAAGAATGGTACTGAAATTAAAGCTCTGCTTTATTTTATGAAATTAAAGCACATCGTCTTTAAATGAAATTTCAGGTCAAGATGGGCCTTTACACACTGAGGGGAAGAAACTGAATTAAACTACCTCATGTTTTAGTGCCACAGAGTTCCTTGTGGTGTCAAGGCTTACAGAAAAAGGCAAGTTTTGCAGTCTTGGAGGTTTAAGCATGGGTTTTCCCCATTTGCACCAATAGCTAGGATTAGTTGCTAGCGTTTTTCTTTCTGTAGGGAAGTAGTAGGTGGATTCCTAACTGCGGATGGCAGGAGGATTGCTCGTTTGGCTTTTGGTAACTCACTCTGCTTCATTTGCAAAGCAGTATTTCCAGGCAGCAAGTTGGAGAACAGGAGAAGGGGAGAAATGCAAGGAAGTGCAAGCTGCGGCACAAGTAGCTGTCTGGGTTTGGACACGCCACCTCCTACAGCTTCTCTGACA